CGGTGTAGTTTGGGCCTGGCCACGAATCAATAAACAAATGAAACAAAAAAAAAGAGTGCACTCCTGGTGGCCTTGAGTGACGTGACATGTACGTGACAGATACCATGCGAGGGTGTCCATGTGATCAGCGGCACAGTGCCGAGGTGTCGAATGCATGCATCTATCTCGTCAGCCATCTGGTGGAAGTCCGATGGACCCGGCATCGACAGTGGCACCCAAAGGCGTGCGATTGCGACGACGGGCTAGATGCAGTAGTGAGCCCCGCAGTGCCGCGGTCCAGTCGTCATTGTTCATTGCGGCCGGCAAGGACAAGCTCGCCATGTGCCGCCTGCCGCCTGCCGCCCGCCGCCCGGTGTATAAAGCTTGTCTGTTGCTTCCACTGGAGGTCGGCAGTCCATCCATCCTCTTTACTCTTCCACGACCGAAATCAGCCGCTGTCATCCATCCACCTTTGGTAACAGGACCAACAGATCAGCCATGGCGCTACCCCCCAAGTTCGCAGGCCACAAGCTCACCTTCACCTCGGCCGCGACGCCAGCCGCCCCTTCCGGCGGCGACAGCAGCCCCGCAGGCCTGTCCTTCGAGCAGCCGCACACGCTCGAGGTCTACCTCGACTACGTCTGCCCCTTCTCGGCCAAGCTCTACAAGACGCTCTTCGGGCCGGTGGCGGCGGCCGTGCGGCAGAACCCGGCCTGGGCGCGCCGCCTGCAGGTCGTCTTCCGGCACCAGGTGCAGCCGTGGCACCCGTCGTCGACGCTGACGCACGAGGCGGCCCTCGCCGTGCTGCGCCTGGCGCCGGCGCGCTTCTTCGACTTCAGCGCCGCCCTCTTCGCGGCGCAGAAGGACTACTTTGACGTCGGCGTCGTCGGCGAGACGCGCAACGCCACCTACCGCCGCCTCGCGCGGCTGGCGAGCGCGACGGCCGGCGTCGACGAGGACGACGTGTTCCGCCTGCTGGCCATCTCGGACAAGCCGGCGGAGGACGGGTCGCTGAACACGGGCAATGCCGTGACGGTCGACCTCAAGCTCGCCGTCAAGATGGCGCGGCTGACGGGCGTCCACGTGAGCCCGACGGTGCTGCTGGATGGGGTTGTGCAGGGCGATGTCAGCTCGGGGTGGACGCTGGAGCAGTGGACCGAGTGGCTGGGTGCCAATATTGCAGAATAGGGGAAGCGTCTGAATGAATGATATATATGATGAACAGTGTTTTTTCTTGGATTGATGGAGACAGAGTGATGTGAGCTGTCTGTCTTCCTTTGGGTGAGGTACCTGAGTACATAGTTGAGGTTTGGATGTAGGGTATACTCCCTAGGTGCCTGGTAGGCAGGCAGGCAGGCAGGCAGGCAGGCACGACAGTGCACGCGCTTGCTGCGTGTCGCTAAATTTTAGGCGCCTTCTTTCCACCTCCCACCTCCACCTCAACCTCAACCTCACCACACACGCATGGGCCCTCACTCATCGAGTCTTCCTCCATCGCGACCGCCCTGAGAACCAGCGCTTCACGGTGCTGTACCCTCTCGCCATGACCCTCCTCCGCCTCTCCGCCTTCCGCGTGACGCCAAATGGCATCTACCGGGCATCGGTCCCTATGCGCTCCTCTGTCCTCCGCCCCCTCCTTCACAAAATCCTCCATCAAGCACGATCCAACTCTACAACCGCCGCCTCAAAACCCACGCCATCCTCCAGGATACCCTCCTCATCCTCCATCAACAAACCCGGCACGCCCCGTAAGCCTCCTACGCCCCCTGGGTCTCCTGAACCCCTTCTCAAGCATCATACCCACCACCATTCGCAGCTCACTGACA